GACAGATTTCCTAACCTGAATAGTCGTCAACTTTAACGTTAAATATCTCGGTTCGTAGAGCAGAGCGACACTTATTTCTTCAAAATTCTTTCGTTTTATGCAAAAACGCGTCGAATGAGCCTAATTTTATCGAAATCGGAGGTGGAGGGGGTATTCTGTATAATTACCGCTATGGTAAATGTCATCATTAAAGGTGTCCCCTTCAAATAATTGTATCGTTGACTAACTTTGTTTTCTGATCCATATTTAAGCGGGGAGCACAGACTTTTGCATAACACATAAAGCATATGCATAAGGAATTTCATTGGTCCATTTTCTTATGCATGAGTCAATGGACCAATCAAATTCTTTATGTATATGGTTTATGTTTTATGCAAAAGTCTGTGCTCCCCGCTTTAAAGCGGAACGGTTTAGCGGTAGCGGCGGAAATCTAGCGACCAATCAGAGCTTTTCCGCATTTTTCGTACCGCTTTGATTTTGCGGATCTGAAAAAATGCCGCGGATAACCGTGATGTCACGTGATTTTCCTTGCATAAGCGTTTTCGCGGTGTTTGCAAAAAAGTTGAAACACTTTAAATTGCCTATGTAATTTGCTACTATATAGAGCGTTGTTTGTTGCTACGGCTGCTACCAAAGAAAGATTTAGGAATTTGAAAAGGAATAATTACGTATTTAGATTTAGATTGGGTATTATACGTATATTTTCAGGGGAGATGGCTTATAACGAAAATGTGGTGAGTAAACGTTGTTTTAAAATAATAGTTCATTAACAATTTGTGAAAATACATCAGTGAGCATCGAGATATAACATCGAGGTTAAATGCATGTAGTTAATCTAAAAATTTATTTTGGTAGCACATAAAATGCGGTTACTGCGGGTGGGTCATGAGAGGAACCTGCAGTAATATAGAGGTCCATGAATGTTTTCGAAATTACAATGAAGATCTCCATTTACTTCTGGTGGACAATGATCATGTGGCAAGGATGAGTACGTATATTCTTTCTTTATTCCTAATAAATTTCATTAAACAACACAATGGTAATACATGCGTGATGGATCTTAATATATATGATAATAATTTGATAATATATATGATAATAATTTGAATTAAGCAAAACTTAAGACTTTAATACACATATCATAAAAAAAGTAATGTAGAGTATATATTTTTTGTAGTACCAAGAAACACATATGAAGAAAATGACATTTCGAATACTGAGGTTGTTCCATCAAAACATCGAAAATATTTAGGTGACACAACAAATGAATTATTAATAGAACTAGTCCAAGCAAGGCCCAGCTTGTGGAATTATACGTTGCCATTGCAGGAGAGGACAAATATAAAAAAGGATGCCCTTTGGGCAGAAATCTCAAATGAAATGGGAGGTGGTATGTATAATATACACCTGTTTATTGGTAAAATATAATAGATCTTATACATCTATAAATAACACAATTTTGTTTGAGAAACTTTTTTGCATATATCCATTTTTTAATCATTTATATTTGAAATCCATTGTACTAATTTTAAATCGCTTATATATATATATATATATATA